CAAACCAACTTACTATGTCTTGCGTATTCGACTGGCTCGTACCCACATCGTTGTGTCTACCGTTGATCTCAAGGAAACGCATAGAATGAAGAAGACTCGCTGCACACCCAAGCTGTAGTTTTCCTAGACAGAAAATTTCAATGCCTCAAAGGAAAATTTTTTAGAAAGTTAAAGTAACTGATTCTAACCTGCACATATGGCTCGCAACCATGATGCCATAACTCGTTCGAGAGCTTTCATTCTCAACTGGAGATAAGTGCAGACCTGGAATTCATTAAGAAATTAGTAACAACTTTGTGGAAAAATATAAAAAGGCGAAAACAAAAATTTTTAGCATTCCGACCTCAGCATTATCTACATTCAAAAGTTCGGATGGCACTTTCGAAGCCGATTGTTCAAGCAAAGACATATCAGAACCATACCACATAAGTTGACGAACCTACGAATGGAATGAAAATCAATGAAATCGACAATTCTTTCAACTACACATACCATGAGAACATTGTTTCTCTCAACTAAATAGTGCACGGGTGCCTGCTTCGACTGATCAAAATCATTTGTGCTTGTACCTAAAACATATAACAGCTAAATGTGAAATGTACTTCTAGAACAAAGAATCAACCAAATTCTATAAATACCTTCAGCTAAAAAGCTAATTTACACACACAGACCACACGGCAAGTTACAGGATACAAAAATGCATAACCAACTGTACTCCATACTGAACCCACCATGACTGAGCAAGACATTGAGCTGACATGGATGTCCGCTTATGGCAACAAAATGAACAGCTTTCTGTTTTGTGACGAAAGATCTTTCAGAAATGAGTTGATGAGCAGCAGATGGAGCAAGACAGTGAAGAATAAAATCGATCATCCTTGAAATAAAAAGTAAGTAAAAGCCTCTCTCGTTGCGATGAATAGAGATCGAAACGTTCAGAAAAAACCTACAGACATTGTCGGTGTTTGTTCAAAAAACATGGTTTCCTTTCTGCAAACTGCGAAGACAGATACATGATAATATTCGTGTTGTTGGCAGTGTCTTTAGTCAAATTGGTGATGCCCTGGAAGGAAAGGTTATATTACCGTCAAAGAACTTTTTTCAAGTGCAAAACAGAAGATGTGATATAAAAATATAGGATGTTGAAGGAAAATCTAACCTGCATGACAAATTCTATCATTGCCGTTAGACCAAGAAAATTGCATCTATAGTCCATTTTATATCTACGTAAAACATCTCCAATAATCTGCATACGTTTCCAAACCTAAATTTTGTTTTGATCACATGAAATAGTTCAATAAGGAGTGAAAAAATTCTCAATCGAAGTCGTAACGGAAACATAACTCACCTTTCTAACCTGCCCTTTCAACGCAAGCTGCAGAAGTTTTCTCAACCATTTGTTTGAGAAAGGAGAGTCAACCATAGAAGCAACCTTCAGATGACAGCATGATTTTAAAACAGATGCACATACACAACCAACTTGTTCCATAGAGCTAGCTACACCTTCTAACGCATCCTTGGCAACGTACAATGTCCCCACATGGTTCTGCTCGCGCAAGTAAGACTAGAAAATTTGAAATGAGATTTCAGTCTTACATGATAAGATGAACAAAGTGATGTCCGCTCAACCAGTAATAACCGATGACATTATAGCGGATAAATGCCAATAGAGCTCACTAAGTGAAGACTTACATCCTGGTAGCTTTCTCTCCAGTTCTCCTTCCATGGCCCAACTTGATCAGAGTAGTAACAAGAAGGTTTCGAAATCCGTGCTCCAAGTATTTTTGGGTACTCAAATGAAAACCGATAGAATTATGATATAGAAACTACACCCTAGGCTGAGGTCAACTACTTACATAATCGTAAACACCTGTTGCAGCTATACCAAATCCGATAGAAGCCTGTAACTTCGCTAATGGTCCGATATTACGAGAAGGTTCTACAGTTGAATGTGATTGCCCTATGCCGCTTGTCCTAAAATGAAAAAACTATAAATGACATCCCCATAGCTACTCCAAAGCCTACAAAGATTATCGATTTTTCAGCGGACAATTTCAATAATCTCATGAATTCTGCTGTTTTCCGTACAAAAACCTGAAGATATAAGGGCAGGAGGCGCCATTCTCATATTCATCAGAAGTCTATAAAGGTATGCCATGAAGCAGTGTTATTTGAGCAAATTATTCAAGCGCCGCAAAGACTGATTAAATAGCGCTGAGCTTTCAAGTATGCGGGGTCTCTAAAGGTATCCTTCTACTACTTATCGGTCATTCTGTCCACAGATGTAGCGACATAAGTAAAACCAAATTATCATAATAGCACGTT